CCTGCATACTGCTAGGATCAGCAGTTTGATTCCTCATGAGGGCTCAGAATTTTTTCTTTGTTCCACGCTCGTTACTGGACGAAAAACATCTTTCTCTATTTCTTTACAGGGCTCAAAACTTACCATCTCTCGTATTCTATATACAAACATTACGCTATCGACATTGCTGATCTTGGCAGTATGCAATATGCGTGTCGTAATAACTTCGTAATAGACCTCACTCACCGTAGAGTCTGTGGCTCAGTAGTAGAGCATCGGATCGCGGAATCCGAAGGTCTGAGGTTCGATTCCTCGTAGGGACTCTGAATTTTTTCTTTGTCCCACGCTCGTGACAAGACGAAAAACATCTTTCTCTATTTTGTTCTTACCACATTTTAACGTCATCTGTGAGGTCAAATTAACAAATATATTCCATGTTGCTCGGCAACATGTAATATATTTGTTAATTTGACTTCTAAATGAAAAGTGATAGTGAGATGATCTCAGGCGAGAAAGAAAATGGACGGTTGGAACCCACGCACCCAGTTTATGGTCGGTTGCTTCCATCAATTTAGTTACACAGTCAGATGTTGGGAACGATGAAAATTTTGGGATTTTTTTTCTTTCTCGTTACAGTAATTTCCTTAGTTTTAGGGCTCGATTAGCAAGCCTTTTACAACTATAAGATACTCACATGTCCATAGTGACCCTGCTGGCCACAGTTATAACAAGATACAGACTTCGGAGGAGATAAAGGTCTTTCAGGACGAGTTATTGGACCCACTTGTATCTGGGATCGAAGAATATCACGCAGTCAAAGTTAATAGCACAAAATTATATTACGAATTGTTGGAAAGGCGTTGCAACTCAACTGACTACCCATGACTGTGACAACCACAAAGTAGGTGGCAATCACCCCTTTTTCTCTTCACTCTGTGAAAAAGATAACTGCAAAGAAAACAATTCGTTTCTAAAGAAACTGTTCAACTTCGTCGGTAGCGGGTGTGCAAATTACTGGGTCAATCACCAATGCGGAGATGATAAAGCTACCTATAACTTGATAAAAGGGCCTTCGTCAACAAAGCACATGGGAGAGGAGGATTACTGCCGAGAAGTCTAGCTTTTAAATCGTTTCCTCACAGAGCAAGTGACTCGGATAATTCTCTATTGAGTAGGAGGGCCCGTAGAGAAAACATTTGGCCGAAGTTACGGTCGACGATCAAATTCAGTCATCAAGCATTTCATTACATGACTGTCGGGCCCTTGTTTCTCCCCTTCTCCAGCGCGCAGCTCGCGGGGCAGTATGGCTCTTTACTGCCCTGCTCACGTCATCTCATATGGAAAGCCTAACACGAGGATACTCGGTTAGGAGTTTTATAAGAAAATTTTTTTTTTCATTGAAGAAACTTTGTTACTTACTGTAAGATGGTACTGCCTCCAACGGTCAGGGCAATCCTGTTAACAACAAACACATGAATACAAAATATATAAAAATTATGTCTTTCTTTCGTTTAAGGGACATGTTGTATTTAGAAATTTGATCAAGATCAAAGCTGTCATCAGCGAAACCTTAAAAGCTCAGTGAAAATTTGGCCATAAAGAAAATATTATCGCTCTGACGAAGGGCTAACGCACGAAATGTCAACCATGAACTCTTTATGGTGGCCAATTTATATTATCAACTCAGTTGATAATGCTTAATTACCCTGTTTTACTTTCCCACCGACGCAGTACCATAGTTTCTTTAGAAACTTACCCCCTTCAAATATTATCCTTGATTTATTTGTAACATAATTAGAATATAATCTAAGGCATCTAATTAAATTTTTTCAAACCACCAAACACTTGTAGATAGATAGATATAAAATCACAGCTCTAGATCTGAACTGGAAAAAAAAACTTGACGAACGAATTTGAAGAATTTTAAAATAAGACCAGGCAAAAATTGGATACACGGGAAGATACTAGGTACTGTGCTCCCCCAAGCATAAAACATTGAGTACTTTTCGGTTGAGTGCGTAAAACCAAACCATTGTAATAACAACGGTCAAACAGAAGAAAGGGAAATACATCTAACAGCCAATGAGAACTCAAAGTAAAAATAACCAGACTCCGTAAAGCGCGGGAAAACGCGGGCGACCAAGTTATGAATGATTTTAATTTCGAATCTGATTGGCTGAAAGAGAGTGACGCGAGTTTTCTGGACTAATCAGAGAGCAGAGTAAAGCAAAACCAATACAGTCTCTGTTTATTTTCAAAACTCAATATAAAATTTCTAAATTAAGCGAACTGGTTTATGAAAACTTACAACTGCAAAATGACCGAGCACATGACATCTGTTACAGCGATCGAATGGCCGTCGTCTGGGCATCCTACAATCCTAAATGACAAATACAGTGTAACTTGTAATGTTAGACACGACTTTTTTTCGGATTTACCAATTTTTTTTCATGTAAACAGAAAACACCTTTTTTCACCTTTTCGCTTTTATTTCTGAAAACTAGATTAAGATTTATCTCTCGTAATTTCTAGGACTCAAATTTCCACCAGCAGAGATAGTACACGTACCTTTGACTTGTGACCGGGTTCACGGCAGTTGAAGCAGAGTTCATTCGGACAGAATCTCTTCACGTGTCCAGAACCTCCGCATAAGAAGCATACGCTGGTTTTCTATTCAATTACACAAGGAGCGTTAAGAATAAGTATAGGGTTAAGTTCGGTGAGATTTTTCGCTCAGTGACCCACTACAACTAAGCTCATCTTGGTTTTTGTTCCTCTGTGCAACTAGGAGTATTGCTACTCACCTTGGATGAGATACTGGTCCATCACAGGTTACCCCCACCCCCACCCCCCATTGCAAAAGCTGACAAGATTTCAATATCACATGAAAAGATTAGCACCCATGATTTTACATGGTACCATTTGCCAGCACTAAAATAATGCGATGAAAGAGAAGAAGCTGCAGTTACCAAATAGTAATGGAAATACAAATGGTCCATATCTTTCAGTCTGTTCAAACAAAAAAATCAAATGTATCTGAAAGGCAAATATCAGCTAAAGGTGTGTACCTTGGGTTCTGGACAAAATTGTGACAGGTGACCCTTTTCATTGCAATTGAAACACCTCATATGTGGTAGTTCCTTCCCAGGCGTGTAATATCTTGAACGTTTCTTGTTTACTCTGGGGTCCTGGAGAAAACAGAGATTATTCCATGTAAAGTGCACATGAACAATTTTTATTCACGAGTTGCGATGCATCTAAAAAACGAACGAGTGAGTGTAGCTAACGAGATAGTTCTCCGATGCATCCCAACCAGTGAATAAGAATCGTTTGTGTGCACTTTCCATGGAATAACGTTCTTATTTCATACATATTAAGACTTTTTCACATTTCAATTCTAAGATTGGAAGCGAACGACTGTAAAAATGCATCGTTCGACCAGTCAGAGACAAGAATGATAGTACTTCACAGCGTGTATCTCAGTATGTATGAAATAAAATATAATCCTTAAAAGCAAACATCCCTTAACCCTTTACAATCTAACATCAGCAAGCATATTCTCCATACTGCTCCATACACATTTCCTAAGGTGCTGACAAGGAGAATTTGTTGAATAATCGAGAGCTTTTTTACTTGTTGAACATTACCTACATTCTCCTGACCTCAATGTGTAATTCAAGGCCGATTATTGTGAGGCAAAATACCATGGGTTCAACTAACAAATGTTATCCTTTCACCCAAGATCTTAATAGTAATTCTCCTTACTGTCTGCTATACAAGGCTTATGATGCTAGTTTGGAGAATTTGTCATTGGATTAACTAATAATCCCCTAATTGATGTCTTTCTTTATTCTCATAGCTTGTCTGCTTGATATTGTATTGGTATTGTAAGGAGAAATTCTGTCTTGGTTGGTGATTGGAGTTACAGGGTTAAACATTAAATGCAAGATAAGATCAAAATAGTGCAACCTACCTCAAGGTCCCTTTCAATCAAGTCCCAGTTTTCTGTGGAAAAAAGGAAAATATACAGTTCAAAAGAGTGGCAGCCAATAATAATGAAGTACTAGATGTATAACGGTTTTACCATAAGTAATGGTAATAGGACTGAATGGAGTCCAATTCCATCCATAATCATACAAATGATAATAGAATTGGACAACCGTGCAGCAGGAGTCTGATTTGTTTATTACAACTATGATTGCAGTCCGAATTGGACAACACAAGGTCTTATTAGCAATTAAGCATAAAAATTACAATTTCCAATAAACAAAATCACTACTGTCTTCTAAAATATTGTCATTGTTCAAGGGAAAAAAAATTCTTCATTTTGAAGAGAGCCCCAATTTAGGAGTCTGTACACTGTTTCTATGGTGATCGGAGCCAAGGCTGTGATAAGTTGATTTGTATAATTTACAACTTTTAATGTGATTGGTTGATTTATACTACAACTTTTGATGTGATTAGCCTTTTTGACCTGTTAAATAACAAACTGTCTGATTAAAAACTGTCCGATAACAACTTGGCAAGTGAATAAGTGAAAAACAGGAGTTTTTTTAACCAATTAAAAATTGAGGAAATTGTAATTTTCATGACTAGCATAGATAACATGAGTGACAAGGGGTCTCTTGGCATAACACTGATGAATGGGGACGAGGGCTTTTGCATACCCCCTGGAAAGGGATTTTTGTCCACTGTTTTTCAACAAAAGGGCTTAGGGCAATAAGTAGTCTCCTTCATAGCTGTTTTTGAGCTTGTTGTGCAAAGAGACTGGGCTGTAGGAGGGCATGCGATAACTTTGTTAGTTATTTCTTAGGGTTAATTACCTGTTATCTCCCCTTGCTCTCCTTTCTTCTTTTCAAGTGTTGAGTTCTACAACAGAAATAAAACATATCAACACTATTTTGTACATGTACAATATGTGCCATCTACAAACATATGTACATAGCACATACTTTAATACTGCAGGGATAATGACAAGATTACATGCAGCTGAAAGAGGAGTATATAACTTTGTGATCAAGATGACAGGGTAATATAGTATTATCAACTGAGTTGACAAAATAAATTGGCCACTGTAAAGAATTTCAAAGCTGACATATCAAGCGTTCATCAGTACAAACGACAAATGGCTAACACTCAAATCGTCAGCTTTGAAACTCTTTACTGTGGCCGATGTACATTATCAACTCAATTAATAATACTTAATTACCCTGTTAAACTCTTCCACCAACACAGAACAACTTTTTCTTTGCAAACTCCCCTCTGATTTATTTATCGGTCTTAAATGACTGTCACAGTAGAATCAACAGTGGATATAATACCTTGTTTAGTTTGTCTTCTGAAGTGGGAACATTTTCATCAGGAAAGAGATTGACAATTTCTATAAACCAGAAGATATAAATATGTGTAAAGTAACAAAACTTCACACAGCATAGGTCAAGACAAGAACTACCTTCAGAAAATCTATGCATAAATCAGTAACCTGTGACAGAACAAGAATCAAAGAAAAAAGGAAAAAGGACAGTGGGTTCCTGCCAAGAGAATATTATGAAATGAATTATATCTGTAGGACATGCGATACTGAAAGTCTGAAAAGCTTTTACTTTTGTAATTAAAAAAAAAAAACAGTTCTTAGGATGCATTTCACAACTCCTAATGCATTGACCAAAAAAAAAAATTAAGAAATATTAAATTCAAACAAATTAGAAAAAACATAGTAAATGCACATAAACACAGTGTTTAAGAACCCAACAGGCAGGAGGCAGACTAGTTGGTTATATACAAAGAGAGCAAAGGTGTTGAACCCAAGACAACTGAAAACAAATCCACTGAATAGCAGAGTGGAGGGCTTGAACCTTAGACCATCAGATTACAAGACAGACCAGCGCCCTAACCCCTCAAATACACTTCCTCCTTCTGACAGGGTAAGTTAATATTATCTACTGAGTTGATAACGTAAATTGGCCACTGTCAAGAGTTTTAAAGCTGACATTTCAAGTGTTAGCCCTTCCTCCATTTTCTCTGATGAAGGGCTAACACCTGAAACTTCAGCTTTTAAACTCTTTACTATGGCCAATTTACGTTATCAATTCAGTTCATAGTACTAAATTACCCTATTATACTCTCCCCCCAATGCAGCACCACAGTTTCCTTAGAAACCTTCCCCACTTTATTCATTTGCCTCCCTCTGAGCCCCATATCTCACTCCCTATTTTAAGGAACTCTATCATTACTACTACTCTTGAAACCACATTTAGTTAAGTTACCTCAAGTTCTGGATGGAACAAAAAGGAACATTGTTTGAAGACTGTGCTTACAGTTGAACAATAAACAAATTTCACAATCCAAAAACTAAAACACTTGACTGACCTCCTAAAAAATTACATCCTAATTGTTATCTATGTTAATGATTTTTAATGATTTCTATACACTGTTTCAAACAAAAGTGTTTGAAAGCCTTAATTAATACTGCAACAATAGTACCTGCATAACTTGCTGCACAAGTGGAGACAACCCATCCCATATTAATCTGAGACCCAGTTACTAATGGGCAATTTTTTGTTAATAAGCATGGGTAAATTTTTGAAAGACAACAATATTGCACAAACCTGTAGAACAAGTGCAATTTGCAGTCTGAAAAATTTAAAAGTGCTTATTACACAAAAGTGCATGAGAAATCATTTTACGTTGTTAATAATTTACATGAAAATGGCATCACAGACAGTCAATACAGACAATTTGACAACATGCACGCTATTTGTAATTTGCACTCATGTTACAACTTTGCTTTTGTGTTAATGAAAATGCACTGGTTCTCAGCCAACCAGAGGCACATAATTTTTTCATGTTTATCATTATCATGGTAAGGTGAATCAAGATAATGAAAGGCTTCTCTCTTTTTTTTTCCTACATACCTGGATAGTTAAATGAAGATTTTAGATTCAAATTCTCCTGTGTATTATTACTGTCCACCAAATCTCCAGTGTTAATATTATTATGATCCTTTCCACCTTCATTCTCATCATCATCATCACTGCCCTCGTCCATGTTGTCATCATCATCACTGTCCTCTTCATTGTCACTGGAGATTTCAATCACAGAGTTGTCTGACTGATCCTTGTCTTTTTCAGTATCTGATTCTGAAACTAACCCATCTGTCCTCTTTGATATTCTCTTATCTGAAACATCCAACAGCAAACTTTAATAAAGTTTCAATGACATAGACAATTAAAGATAAAATCCATTGTATCGTAATAGTTCAGTACAGTCTGACTGCAAACAATCTGGAAGTTTCCATCCACTGAGGTATATAACAGCTTAAGATCAACTGATATATTGCAAAAAATAAATTACCCACAGTTAGGGTAACATTAGTGACACATTTGCCTGAACCTTGTATGCCACTTTTTTGTTCATGCCATATTTTGGCATCATCTGTGATCTATTACCAAACAGATGCAAGGCAACATGAAATCTATTAGTAGATTAGAATCTACTAACCCTTTACACCCTAACATCAGGATGTGTATTATCCATACTGTTTTCTGTACATTTCCTAAGGGGCTAACAAGGAGAATTTATTCAACAATCAAGAGCTTCTATAGTTGGAAATCATTTCCTTTATTCTTGTGACCTTAATGTTTGATTCAGGAGTGATATTATGAGGAGAAATTAGATGCCGCTCACTCTTTAAGGGTTAAAGGGTTACTGGAATCTACTGCCCCTATTATAGGATGGTAGCTCACAATGTTGTGATCTGGCCTTGATTCTGAAATTGTGGGCATCTACAAAATTTCCTTCAAAAATTTTGAAGTTCTCAATGTAGTCTAGTCAAAATCTCCCACAAAGTGTTGTAAAGTGCAATTAGCCAATGGATATGTCACCATAGAAATCCTTTATTATCATTATTATTTATTAAACAGATATCAATTTGAGAAGTTCATACCTGGAGTAGACTTCTCTGATACCAATAGAGAAGAAGCGTAATGCACATGGCTATAGATTGTCTCTTCTATTTCACTGTCTGCATCATCTTCACTTCTACAGAAGTGTAACAAAGCACTAAGTCAAATTCATTTACATTCAATTAGACTGAATTTTGCTTAAATATCAGACTCATTAAAACTCAATATTTTCTTTCACAAGTAGTCTTAATCCTTTCATTTGCAAGCCTTATAAGTAATTCTCCTTACTGTCTGTCATACAATTCTTATATGACCTTTGTTTGGAGAATTTGGTATTGGATCAATTAAACATCCTCTAATTGATATCTTTCTGCTTGATATTGTACTGATATTGTGAGAAGGAGAAATTATGTCTTCATCACTCAGGGAAGTTGAAGGGTTATAAGCAACACTAACCCAGAGGAAGAGTGCTCCCCATACAGCTGATCCTCGTATGCTTTGTAAGCGTCACTGTCAAACTCATCATCACTGCTCATACCTTAAAGAAAAATTTGTTATAGCAACTCTAATGAAATGTTAATTCATCAAGAATAAGGATATGTCTGAGGGGGGAAGAGGGAGTTTCTCACATGTAAACAGTCTTACTGGGGTGCATGTAAGTTCCATACCTTTTTTTAAAAAAAAAAAAAAAATTTCAATAGTGCTGATATTTCTATTGCTATATTTATCATCATAACACATCATAACTCACAATAAAGCTTTGATCTATGCCTAACTCAGTGTTAAACTACCCGCACATTCTAGCCTTTCTGACTTATGCCATAAGGCTCTAGCTTCAGCAATCTAACAACACTGTCTTTTTTTTTTAATACTCTGAAAAATTTTATTATTTGCTAAGATCTCATGATCCAGTTTTAAATGTGAATGACGGTATTTATGGCTTTGTAATGTTGAATAAGGTTGTCACTGAGTGATTAAATTAATTCATTAATTATTGGGTGAATCACTGCCAAGTTATCAATGTTTCAATATTTAAATATGCATTATGCAACAGTTTTGGATTAAACAAGGAAATTAAATGCATACATCACCCCTTCTAGTCTACTGGGAGTCTTATCATACCGACGTTGAGCATTTGTTTATAGTTTGATGATAAATGCACTCTTACACGCTTTCATTTGTGGAAAGACGATCTTCAATAACTGGCGTGAAATCTCACAGGTTTCAGTTGAGATCATGGACATATTTCACGTGACAGAAACTATTTTGTAAATATTTAGATAGGATAGAGTAATAATGGAATGACTGTTCGATTGGTACTATGTAAACACCCAACAAACTGTAATCACTTTTTGTAACATAACGAAGAAAGAGCAAGAAACATTAGCTTATAAAAAACAAACTATCCGTATAGTGCAATAATATGGAAACGAATTGTGTATCTTGATCGGAAAGTTAAATCTAATAGCTGCACAAAAAGCACTATTTCGGACGTGAGGTCTGATTTACCCCATTTCCCACTTCCGGAATAATTTTTTAATTCTTTAGGAGAGTTAGAAAATAACTGATCATCAAAATAGAAGAGACACAGTTTGGATTTCACTTACCTTCCCCAGTTATAAGCTAAAATAGCAAATACAAAATCATCTATATCCTAAACGAGAGTCTACCCTGATTTCTGTCGGTGTTATGTTGCAACGTGCACCTCAAAATGTCTCAGGCGTTGCACACTGATAGTGAGTACGCCATGTATTTTCTCATGGATTGTTCCGTTGTATCAATCTTTGAAAAAGGTAATTCTTACTTGAAGGAAAACCTCTTAATATTTTCTTCCTTAAAAATATTATAAGTTTTTTGCTAGTCTATTGTTTTTGGAACACTGAAAATTTCAAATGAAACAAAACGATTTTTGTAGTTATTGTTATATGAACAAACATGTACTAAAGGGAACTCTATTGAGCCCGCACAACACACAACATGGCGGGTGATCGAAAAAGCGAGCAAGAACGTTTCGAAGAAGAAATAGATTTAGAGGTTACCTTCAATGAGTTCGACGATGAATTTTCAGAGTATAGTGAGAGAAAATTAGACGAAACTGAGGAAAACGGCCGAAAAGACTCAAAACAAGGGGAATATCCAAACAACATATTTTTTAACGACGCTTGTAATCTTCAAAATGAAACTGTCAAAACACATAGCGTTACAAATGGAAACCACGCCGAAAATGTGCTAAATATGGCAAGGTCAGAAGAAGGCGAAGTTTTTAGTTCGAGTGAAGACGAAGGTGGAGAGAAAATGGATTTTGATGAGGAACTAGACAATGACCTGAAAGCAGTCACTACGGCGAATTTCACGTCTGGTGGAAGTAAAATCCAAGGAACAATTGAAACAACCACTTTTAAGTTTTTACCTCCTGATTCAGGTGAAGGAGAGGGAAGTAAAATAGAAACTGCATCGCAAGAGTTAATAAAAGATACGGTTAGGAGTGTTGATGTAACAGAGAGAGAAATACTTTCAATGGAATCTGATAATTCAGTGGATGATCAGAGTTGGAAGAGACATAAACGGGCCAGATTGGAACTGGAAAGCCAAGAGAATTCTGTGGAGAGGAAAAGAGAGGGAAAAGGTGAATAATAGAGAGTGGTGAGCATACTTACCTATCCCTACCAACATGGTTAAACATTACCTGCTGCAACCAAAGCTGAAGGAAACTTAAAAACGTTCAAAGAAACTGCACAGTCAAATAGTGAACCCTTACACCCTAACACCTGTATCCACATTCTCCATACCCCTCTCTATGCATTTCCTTGGTACTGACAAGGAGAATTTGTGTAACAATCAAAGCATCTTAGGTTGGCAGTCATTTTCTTTATTCTTGTGATCTTCATGAATGATTCAGCAGTATTAGAAAC